CGCTCCATCTTCCGCTCACAGTGCTGCTCTTTATGCGCCTGACATTTGCTCGCTGGAAAGGCCCTGAAAGTCAGGGGGAAAGGAAAACATTGCCCGCAGCAGGGCTGAAGCAGCGCTGGGAGGAGTGCCGTGCCGTGCTGTGCCGTGCTGTGCCGTGCTGGGCTGGGCTGGGCTAGGTCGGGCTGGGATGCTCGGCCGTCCCGGCCTCACCGCCCGCTCTTCCCCGGGGTGACCCCTTCACCTCTCAGCAGCTCTCCGGCTGCCTTCCCCTGCCGGCACCACCGCTTCCTGCCAGGTGTGCTCAGCCTGGCTCCCTGCCTGGGAAGCCCTGGCCATCCTGCCCCTGCCTGCTCCACGGGCGGGCTGGCAGCACCATCAGCTCTAGCTGCCGCTTCTGCATGTCCCCAGGGCTGTGTGTGGTAGGGGGTGATGGGGACAGTTCGAGCTCAGCACGGGTCCCTTAGCCATCTGCCACTGGGGTACACAGTGCCCCAGAGACTGCTGCAGGCTGGGGTGAGCCTGTGTGAACAGATCCAAGGACTGGAGGAGGTGGGAAAGGGCATTGGTGGTCCATGTGGGGCAGCTCGGGGTGCCTGGAGCCAACTCAGGGTGGGGCAGCTCAGTCCACAGGGAGAGGCGTTGTTCCACTAGGGAGCTGGGGCGGGAGGCCAGGCTGATGTGTTCTGCTCCATCCTGAGGGGATGAGCTGCCCCTTTCCCTGTCCTTGATCCCAGCTGGAAGGAAGGGAGCACTTCAATCCCCTCCATATCTATACTCCCGCAGGCAGATCCTGATAGGATCCCTTGGTCTGGCGCTGTTGGCAGAGGCTGAGTGAGCAGCTAGCACACATCAGTGCTGATCTACCTGGACCCCAGGGTGGATCCCTCCCCAGCCTAACTGACACTGGCACAACCATGGGCAGAGATGCCCAGTGCACATCCAGCAAGCCACGCCAGCCCCATTCCCAGGAGCACGCCCAAAGCTTGTGGCAGGACAGAGTGCCAAGGGCAGCCTGGCCATGCGGCACAGGAACGCCCCAGCCATGGGAGCCCTTCCTCTGCCCACCGCAGGCTGTTGCAGCATCGCCAGGCTTCACCCATGCCAGCACAGCGGTGGCCATGCCCATTGCCAGAGAGCCAGTGCGCCGTTCCTGGGCTGTCACTCCACCACGCTGCTTCCGCAGAGCCTGCTGGCGGGGCAAGCCCGGGGAAGCCATGCCCCCCCCCGGCCCACACCCCTTGGCTCTCGGCCCCGGCAGGAATTATTAAGTGTGCCCCTGTGGAGCATGTGCTGAGGCTGGCCACGGGAATGTGGGCAGATCTGACATACAAGCCACAGCAGCCAGGCTGTAATTTCCAAACAGGCCCCATTCGCTCTGTTTTCCAGTTAAAAATATATTAAAAAATAGGAATGTGGGGTTTGTAGCAAAGAATGTTGGTAACCGCTTCGAACGTCTGGTGTGATAATGAAAGGGTCAGTCCCCAGCTTTGAGCATGACCGATTTAGACTCTGGTGCTTGGCACTGGCATGGGGGCCCAGCATGGTCCAGCCTGCCTGCAACCCCCCACCCGGGCCCAGCCCAGGGAAAGGTGATGCTTCTGCATTGGTGGCACAGTGCCGGGCTGGGTGACATTCACCTCCTGCTCATGCTGGCAAGAGGACATCCAAATTGCCGTCTCTTACGGCCTCTTGAGAAGGGAATCTGGGCTGGGGTGGGTGAAGGCAGGGTGCCTGGGAGAGAGACAGTGCCAACCACTGGCTCTGCTGACTCCCCATGCTGGGTTAGAGCCCCATAGCCCCGGGATGGAGGGCACTGGGTAAGGCTGCAGTCCAGCTCCCTGTGAGCTTCCCCACCACTGTGGCGCTGCCGGTGAGCACGGCTTGCTGCTGGTGAAGGATCAGGTGCCTGCCCCCATTTTCCAGGCAGTCCCCCCGCCTGGGCTAATCGCAGTTCAGGGTGTGCTGCAGAGCCTCCTGTGCTGCTGCCGCAGCCTTGAGTCACTCCTGATACCGGGCATCCCACTTGGCCTTGTGGCCAGGTAGTCATAACATGCAGGGCAAGCTGTGCCAGCTCCCCGGGCATCACTCCCTGGTGCCTGGTGAGCCACGTGGGGCAACTCGGCCAGAACTCCCCCAGGTGCCAGCTCTCTGCTCGTGCCGCTCCCCGGATCTCGGGTGTCATGTCTATCCCAGAGATCGATAATCAGAGAAAAACAAGTCATCAGAGGCTGGGGCTGACGTTGCAGTGGGGACAAGTTAGCTGCAGCGTGGTTCAGCTCAGGGATGTGCTGGGGCAGTTGGTCAAGGAGGAAGGGGAAAATCATTGGTACCCAGGGCTTGTCCCCCACCCAGCCCCTTCTGGGGACACCTCCTTGTCCCTCTCAGCCTCCAGGGCCATCAGGTGGCCGGTGGCTGGCACAGCACGCTCAGCTCCCTGCTGAGTCATGGCTCTGCAGGGAAACGCTTCCAGATCTGGTTATAAACCCATTTCCCTCCGAGGCTGTGAAGTGCGCCCTCCCATCCCGACGTGGGCCAGTGCTGGCAGCCCAATGGCTCTGAGCCCATGGACTCGAGACGTCGGGAAGGGCAGTGGCAGGAGGTGGCCAGTGACTCCCAAATTCCATCCTGGGCTTGCCAGAGCTGAGTCCTTCCTGGAGGCGTGGGTAGTGGCTGCCCTGCACCTGCAGACTCCTGTGCCACCCCGGATGCCTATCCCTCCCGGGGCAGGCTGATGGCACTAGGCAGCCTTCTCCCAGCATCTCCCCAGGATGCCACCCCAGTGGGTGCATCTGTGCCTGTCCCAGGGACACGTGGTGGTTGCAGGCTTGGGGGCACTCCACAGCATTGCTCTGTCCCCAGGGACGACATGAGGATGCTGCTCTGGCTCTGGGCAGCTGGGGCTGAGCACCAAGAGAGCAGCTGCCCTGCCCGGATCCTCACTTGGATGCTGGGAAGAGGAGCAGTCTGACAGGCCCGGGGCTTGGGGCATGTCCCAGGTGCCACCCTGCACTGCAGCCCACGCCATGGCTGGGTTGGAGCAGAGGAGGGTGGGCAGCACCCTATGCCTGGGTGTACAGCCTGGCCTGTTGCCCTGGCACTCCCTGGGGACCCCTTGGTGGCAGGGAGAGGGGGTGGGCAGCAAGGTAGTGGCACCCACGGCTGGGTGGCTCTGCAAGGGACTCTCCTGCCCTGCCGGAGCATTGACCCACGCAGTGCTATCTAGTACACTTTGCTCACTCCACCACTGTTCCTGGCTATCCTGGAAGCTGCTGTTTGCTTTTCTCTGAATTATGACTCCAGCTTGTGCCTTTGATCTGGGCTGTGTCGGCCACCCGTTGCTAGTCCCTCTCTTGCCTTTGAAGTGCAGTTGCCTTCCCAGCCTCAGATGCTGCTTTTGCAACCTTGGGTGCAACCCTGACCCCGTGAAGCGAGACACCCAGGGCAAGAGCATCCCCAGGGTGTCTGAGGTGCTCAGCATCCCTCTTCCTCCCTGGGACCTTATGACAGGCCAGTACAGCTCATGGCGGGGAGGCTGGGCAAGAAGGCATTGAGAGGTGTGTTTGCCCAGTGGCAAGCAATCCAGGGGATGCTGGCAGGGTGCTGGGACCAGAGCATCACTCCCTCCTGTGGCAGTGGGCAGGGACACAGGAGGTCCTGCACAGAAGCTGGCCAAAAAGCTGTTAGTGCCATGCATGTCTTACAGCTAACGGGCCTTTCATGCCCGTGGTTCCAGGGATGAGACCTGTGGGGAAGGCTCCTTTCTGGGCACCAGACAACCCATCCCAACATCAGCCCTGCCCTCCCTCCCTGTCTGGCGGTGAGCAGCGAGGGGGGCTCAGCCCGCCCTTTCTGCCACTGGGAAGCTGGGGCCAGGCTTTGCACTCTGGCCTTGAGTGGGTCTGAGTGTCCCCATCCCCTCCCCGCTCCACTGGCCCAGATTAAATCCAGCCTTATCTGTTACACTTTGTTCTCCTGCTGTCTGGTGTGGAGCAGAGCAGAGATCAGTGCAGACCTTTGACACACACACCCCCCCACACACAGACACATACAACCAGCCATGCGAGCACTCAGAGCCATGCTCACCTACACACAGCCCCCGTGCACACACACACACTCACACTCACCTGCACATGTGCACCCATACCATGCCCTACACACCCCCACGCAGCCACCCCCTTCAGAGCACACAGGTTTCTCCATCCCTGCATGTGTTTGTTTTCTGGCTGTGCTCTGTGTTAAGTTCCCAGTGGTGCGTGGGGCTTACCCAGACTGCCAACCTCCCTGTCGTGAGAGCCAAGGTCCCCCATGCGCATTGATGTGTCCCAGAGGGCGAAGCTGGCATCCCGCAAGCCCTGGCAGGGGGTGCAGGCAGGAGGAGTGGGGCTTCCCCTATGTCAAACTTGGATGGAGAAAAAAATGTGTGCAGAGCGATGGGAGCTGCTCTGGCAGCCTGGGAGCAAACCTGGGCATCTCTTGTCTTGCCACCGCATTGCCCTCACTTGCCATGGGGCCACTGGGGATGGCTTGTGCTGCCCCCATAGATATTGCTGGAGGCAGTTGTGGCAGGCCAGGGCTTCCCATCCCCACCCGTGGTGCACCAGCCAGGGAAGCTGCAGCCCTTCCCCTGTGTGATCTTATCTCAGACATTTCATGAATGACTTGCAAACCTCCACAATCTGCCTCTGAATGGGAAGGCAGCCCACTGGCTGGAGCAGGTGTGCAGGTATGTGCACACGTGTGTGTGTGTGTGTGTGTGTGTGTGTGTGTGTGTGCGTGCGCGCGCACCCGCATGGCCATGTCCAACCCAGTGCCAGAGCTGGCTGGCCCCACAAGCTGTGCCGCCTCCCCTGGGGTGAAGCAGAGGGAACCCAATGTGCGGAGGGATGGACCACCCCCCTTCTCTGCCCCACCGCGGCACCGTGGAAGGGTGTCCTGGCAGGAACCGGCTCCTGGCAGGTGATTTCCTGGCAGAGTGATGGTGCCTCTGCTCTCTCACGCAGAGCCTGCCCCAGATCTGCGGTGCGGGAGAAGGGCAGGCATTTGCCTCTGCTCTGCAGCAGCTCTACACAGCAGTGACGCAGCAGGAGGCCAAGCAGGCTCGGAAACGGCACCACTCAGGTGAGGAGCTCCGTGGCTGTGGGATGGGGAGTGCATGAAACACCTGCCTTCCCAGTGATTGAGCCCCCATCTCAGGAGAAGGGGAGTGGGGGTCCGGGTACAGATCACCCCATGCAACAGCCTCCCCCTTTGCTTTTCCCCCCATGGGCTGAGGTCACCCATTCAGGCTCTAGTCCTGGTGTGGGTTTGGGCACTGCCCCGTGCTCCCTCATCTCAATCCCAAATTGCATCTCTTTCTGCTGATACCAGAGGACACCGAGGGCCCTGCACCTGCTGCAGAAACCACAGTGCACCCCCATCCGCCACCTCCATCCCAGGAGGATGAAACAGCATCTTCCAGCGAGGGAAACACAGTGAGTGCAGCTCTAGAAACAGCCTCTCTGTACCAATGGCAGGATGGGGCCTGCACCTCCTTTCCCTCCTCACATCCCAGCCCTATGCCCCTCCAGGATGGGCTTGGGGGGTTCAACTTGGTTCCTAGCCCATCCTTCCCCATGTATCCTGGCTGGGGAGCGTGTGGTTGCACATGTGTGTGTGGTTTGCACTCCCCTACGGGCATGACAGGAGTGTCTTGCACATGTGCACCCATCCTGCGTGACACCCCGGAGGATGACTGGCACTGCTTCCCCTTTGCTTCCAGCCAACTTCATCCCCAGCTCAGAAGCTTCGGCTGCCTGTGGCCAAAGCCAAACCGAAGAAGGCGAAGGGGCTTTTCAGCTGAAAGGTTGCTGCCAAGAGAGGCAGTGCAGAACACCCATGCATCCTCTGCCTCTGCTCCTGCGTTTCCTGATGGACCCTGCCCTCCCGAGGTGTTTCCAGCCAGGGAGATGGGGCATCTCCTTTCTTCAAAAGTGTCTCAGGAACCTTTTTTCTACCTCTGCCCTGGTGCAGAGCTTGCCCAGGCTGCCTCGTGGTGGAGCCAGTGCTGGACCTGGGGAGAGTGGGATGGATGCTGCCGGGTGGGTGTGGGACAGCCCGGGGCTCTGGCAGGGCTGTGGGGTTTGGCTGCTCTCATGTGGGTTTGCAATAAAGGGCTGTGTCTGGGTGAGATTCTCTCTCCTCCTGCTCTGTCCCCCCTGGGCCCAGGCAGGGGTGCAGCCCCTGGTGCTGCCGGGTCGCCCTCAGGCCAGTCCTACGGTCGCAGGGGCTTGCAGCAGCTCTGGATGGTGAGGAGGTGACAGCAGCTCATTGCTGTGGGGCAGGACCGCAGCTCCCAGCCTGTGCTGTGCCTCACCCTGAGCAGCAGTACACAGGGTGAGGTGTGCATGACAGGACCCCCAGATACAGGGGTCACAGATTGCTGGGGGGGATGGAGCCCTTGTTCTCCTTGTCCTATGCTGGGGACACACCATGTGCTCGTGCCAGGTGAAGCCCTTGGGGCAGCAGATTGGCAAAGGGGTGGAGTGGCTGAGGGGCACCTTCCATGTGCAGGCAGCTCCCCCAGGGTTAGTGGGCAGGTGATACGGGGTTAATCCATGCTCTGGCTTCTCAGGAGCAGGGGACAACCAAGCCACTAACAGATTGAAAGCTCCCAGGTCTGGGAGCAGCTCTGGAGCAAGTTACTGGTGCTCCCTGGACACAAAGCACCTCCTCTGCCCCTTCAGACCTCATCCATCCATCCATCCATCCATCCATCCATCCATCCGTCCATCAATCCGTCCATCAATCCATTCCTGATCTCCTCTTCCAGCCAGTTGCATCCACATGCTTCCTCTGGGGCTGGACCCCCACTCTTGGGCCTGAGCAGGGTCCTGAAACAGCAGGCAGCACTACTGCAAGGCAGGGTGAAGCCCATGGTGCCACTCTCCTGGGGCAGTGCCCTGGCTGTCCTGCTCCCAGGGGTGGGCTGGCCAGTCAGGCTGCCTGCTCTCCCGGGCAGCAAGGGGGAAACAAAAACATCCGGAGCAGCCCATGTCTCTGGAAGGGGAATGAAAGGGCCTTTGCTGGGCCATGGCTGGCCAGTCCCAGGGTAAGAGCAGCCAGTTGATTTTTATATTTCCTCTCTGAGGGAGCAGCATGCGGGGCAGGGTGGGTGGTGAGAAGGGAGGGGAATGGGATGGGGACCTTGTGCTGACAGCCATAGCTACATATCCTTCCTTCTCCCATCTGCCAGCATCTTACCCTGGCAAATTTAGGTCTGTCTGCTGGGCACTTGCCCCTAGGGAGGGTCCTGCTACCAGCTGAGGGAGTAGGATAGGGGCAGCAGCAGTTTAGCAGCTCTCCATTTCATGTGTCTTCTGATACCAGGTTGTCCCCTGGTGCAACCCCTGCTCCATACATGTGGGCTCCATCTCCTGGACTGGGAGCTGCTCTGTTAAAAACCAGGTCCCTCAGTTTCCTGCTGGGCCTGGGCTTCATGCTGCTTCCCTGTGCATGCCAGGACCTACAGGAGGAGGATTTGTCACCCCAGCAAAGGCATTTGGCTCATCTGTCCCCTTTGAGGACCCCTGTGTGGGGGCACATTCCCATCCCATTGTACCAGTGGCTGGTGGGGTCTATAGTGGATCAGATGGTGCAATCCAGCTCCTGTACTCTCGGGTCATCCCAGCTACCAGCTGCACCCCAGGCTGTGTCTCTGCTTCTCCTTGGGGTGCTCAACCCAGGGGAGGCAGTCCCAGGGATGCTGCAGGAGTGTTTGCTCAAGAGCCCTGTCCTGCTGCAGAGTAAACCCTCCTGGGGAGCCCTGTGGCTCTGTGCCCAAGGGATGGGCGAGCACCCACCAGGCATGGGCTGGGGGTAAAGACCTGATGCAGGGACAGATCCTGCTTCACTCACCCTGCTCCCAAGGCAAGGGAAGTTGGGGCTGCAGCAGTATGGATGGGAGGTAAATAAAAGCAGGAGAGTGAAGAGCGGGAAAAAGAGCTCAGCCAACGCCCCCCAGGCCACCACAGGGACCCCAGACTCCAGCATGGGGCCACTGGTGCCTCCCTGGCCAGGTTGCCGCCGGCTCCAGGGAGTGTCACCACTCATTGTCCCATCCTGTCCCGCTGGGGTCTCCTTCCCTGTCCCCACCCCCTCCTCCCTGGAGCCGGCTGGATTTGAGCTCCCGACACACATTAAAGGCCACAAGTTCGGCCTCGGCCTCCATAAATTTGATTCCATAAATATTAGTTTTCGCAGGGTTTAATGAAGCCGTTATGCCGGGCACGGCCCAGCACCCCGACCCGTGCCCTTAATAAGGGCTCTGTGGCCTCGATTAAAGGGACCTTTCAATCGCTGTCAAGTATTTTTAGAAAAGGAAAAGAAAAAAAAAAAAAAAAACGAGAAAATTGGAAATAAAGGCTGCATGAAAATTCATTTCCAAAAGCCCAGATCAAAACACCTCTCTTCCCTCCCTATGAATTGGCATCTGCTCTTTGTTGTTGTATCTGAAATGTATTAAAAGTCTCCTGCTAGAAACGTGGCTAAGTCAACATCTGTAGCATTGATTCCTGACACACAATCCTGAAGGTGATACTGCAAGGAGGGGGGTAGGAGCCAGAGTTTTTGTTCGGCATCAAAACAACAGCAACAGCAACGAAGATCATTGTAGCCTTTTGTGCTCTGTGTGTGTGTGTGTGTGCATGTGCCTGTTAGAGTTGCTGAGGTGTGTTGGGGTGCTAGAAGTGAAAGGAGTTTTTCAGCACAGATTTCAAACAATTCTGATGCGAGAGGGGCTGGGAGGGGAGCAGAGGAAAAGAAGAATGCAAAGCCCTGAAGATGACTGTGTTCTCATTTCCATCACACCAGCCGTTCTCAAGAAGGGCAACCTTGAGTTTTGCTGTATACCAGGATATAAATAAGACTGAGTAGGAAAGAGGAGGGAAATTTGATCAGAATCTCATATTTGGACCAACTGGATGACTGCCTTCTCCCTTAGTAGGTTCCAGAGGTAACACCCAAAAAAGTTCCCCATTGTCTTGCAGGTCTCCAGAACTGAAGTGACCCCTGTCCTCACGGGACAAATGCCTCGTCTCCTAAGATCTGGTAACATCACCTAATGCTAACATTTAGCAAGGTAGGTGCCCAGCTGAACAGTCGTCTGGGGTCCACTGATAGCAGATGGATAGAGACAGACACTTCCAGAAGGTTATTAGCCAAGCTGGAGAGAGGTAAGACAAAAAATCTTTCCTAAAACTGTATTTGTCTCTCCACTAGCTTCTTCAGGAAGCCTAGACAACTTGCACAAACTAGAAATCTTGGTTTTCAACAGCTGAGAAGGGCCTCTCCCTTTGAGAACTGCTCAAATTCTGCGCTCCCAAATCCTCTTGAGTTGACCAGAAAAA